GAACAAACCTATCAATTCTAAAGGAAATCAACCCTGAGTGCTCACTGGAAGGACAGATCCTGAAGCTGAGGCTCCAGTACTTTGTCCATCTCATGAGAAGAGAAGACTCCTTGGAAAAGACCTTGATGTTGGGAAAGTGTGAAGGCAAGAGGAGAAGGGGATGACAGAGGATGAGATGGTTGGACAATGTCATCGAAGCTACCAGAATGAATCTGACCCAACTCCGGGAGGCAGTGGAAGATAGGAGGGCCTGGCGTGCTCTGGTCCATGGGGTCACGAAGAGTCGGACACGACTAAACGACAAAACAAAACTGAATGGGTTTGGACCTTAGATGCAGACGTAGAACTGGATTTTGAAGATTTTTGAGAATCCTTGGCTTTGGTAGGTAGCAATGTGGTGCTCGATATGGAGTGAGTAGTTGGACTGGGTTGTCTTAATTCAGTCCAGGATTGTTCTGCTGTTGAGGGGGAAGGTCTGACTTCCATGGTCGGGTTAAGTGCCCTCTTGTAGAGATATGAATAAAGGCACTGTAATCTGAGTTTAATCACAGGTTTAGTCAGCTTCTTACATTCAGGGCACGATTGAGTCTGATTTTGCTCCCCCAAGCAAAATAAGCATTTATTGTGCCTGTCAGTAAGAGGTATTTTCTTAAGGCAGGCAATGCACCTCTTAAAACCTGGAGGGGCCATAAAATTTGGGGAAAATAGGAGGGGAAATGTCCATTGGGGAGAAAAAAGGGGGGGAGAAAAAACACAGGAAAGCGAAAACTGTGGAAAAATGAATAATTACCAACAGAAATAACTGATATTGATTCAATAAAGGGTAATAAACTAAAGAGAAGACAAATCGAAAGTAATTAAAGTCTTTACTTTCCTTTATGTCTAGCTCTAATGTTCCCAGTGTCCTGACCTGGTGGCGTAAAAAAAGGAAATGAGGGGAAGATCAGAGGAGCGGAGCTTGCACCCTAAGGGGAATATTTTATTGTCAATCTTTTAAAAGCTCTAGAAACTTCCGAAACATCCTGCGCAGGCACAGAAGAAACCCACTTATGTGTATTCACAGAGGCCACAACGAAGAACCTGTTTTAGTTAAGAATAGGGGCAATTGTTTCACTTAAAATCACAATCTTTAGGGACATGAATTTATCAATATTTTTATTTTATTTTATGAGCTTCTCAAAAGCATCTGGTTGGCTACAGCAGGAAACCAAATGCTAGATTCTCATAACCTCTCCCTAATCCAATGGGAAAGTTCTTCCGTTTATCATACTCAAAGTCTGTTTTGGATTTCGCCCTCTGCTAAGCCACATAGGTCTTGCAGTTGTGGTCAGTTTTACTGGAAAGCTTGTTACTTTCAATCCATTCATCATGAACATGGGCCGCAACTAGGCATGCCCACTCTTGACACCTTTTCAATATCCATCTTCAGCCTCAGAGAGTGCGATCAGACATCTGCAAAGGTGCATGCCTGATCGCTTTGGAAAGAGTCGCTCTAACAGGAGTGCTCTTCTTATTGCAACCCTTCCGTCTGTCAGAGAATCACTCCAGCTCTGCTCCCCAAAGTACTAGCCCTACAATGAAACCAAATTGGTCCAGCTTGGTCATAGACTGGGGTTAGGCTGATGTGCATTGGCCCATATGTCGTCTGATTGCTGGGAAATAGATAATCAAGAAATAGATTGCATCCGTTTTCTGCACAAGAGGTCCGAATTCAATTAATCAATCTTTATTTTGCGGTCTCTGACCCATTAAACCAAATTGCAATCTATTCTCCCATGTGATCACATCCTCAGATCATGATCAATTTTCCCAACATTTTTACATATAGCAAACAATTTTACCAGGTTATGCTCAAAATAGGATCAGAGCAGTGGCATTGGGGCATTTCAAAGAGATGGGGAAGAACTCGGTGAGTACCTGATTCACCTTAGCTGAAACTCCAATAAAAGACACTTTGCATAGCCAGGAGAAATTCCAGCAGGAATGCTCATACCCAGGAGACACGTCTGTAGAGACTTTGCATTTTCATAGTGAACAGCAACTGACTTTCCCAGCTAAATATCTTTAGATGGACTGAAACAAAAAACTATCGTCTACGAAACTGAAATGATTTGAAGAGAGAAATATAAAATTCACAGTAAACGCCTCAGCCCAATACTAATATAAGTGCCAGGACAAAACATTAAAATATGTTCATCAGAGGAAAAAACTTTCCTTCATTGCAGTTTATGCTAATTGCTATGGATATAAATGGTGATATTTAAAAACCAGATTACAGTGGACCCTCGACATGCAAACGGCTCGAGCTGCGTACTTTTCAAGGTACGGACTTCTCTGGCCGCAAGATTTCCAATCAACTTGTGGCCGGAGAATCGACCTACGGACTGGAAGGGGGAGGCGGGGAAAGTGCCTCCGGATGCCTTCCAGGGCTTCTCCGCCAGCATGGGAGGTATCTTGGAGGTCCCGGCCACTGCCAATAGTGCTTCGGAGGCACAATCGGCATTGGGGAGACCTCTGAGAGGCCTCCCATGGCAGCCGGGAAGGCATCCGGAGGTCCCCCCCACCGGAGGTCCCCCATGCTTTGGAGGCATGATCAATGGTGGGGGGGACCTTTGAGAGGTAAAGGGTCCACTGTAGAATACAGCTTTTGGAAGACCAGGTTATCAAGGAGGAGGAGGTACTGCTTGGATGGACCAAGCAAAGGCAAAAGAACCTACCGGTATTTATGTACCCAGCTGCTCCAAGGGGCTTTATAGTGGACTCATTCTACTTCTTTTTGTGCCCAAAGATAAGCTCCAAAATGTCAACCATACGAGGTTCCATGTAACTCACTCTTGGTCCCAGCCCCAGACCATGAGTCTCTTGATTCAATGCCCCTCCCTACACACAAACACACTTTCTGGTAGAGATTATGGAAAATAATTAAGACTAAACAGTACTGCAGTGCAAACACTTGAGTTTCTGGAGAAAAAAAACCCCCTACGTTTTATTTTATGGTGTGGTCAAAAGGCAATAATTTCTGAAAAAGGTTTCAAGTTTCTCACCTGTTGGAATCACATTTTATTTGAGGAGGGGGAGATCTCTACTAGTATGGATGCAAGAGAGGAAACAAATCATACCTTCATCAAAAGAGTTCCACGCCCATCCCAGTCAATCTGCATGTCTTCCTTATAGGTGAGGCGAACTGCAGGCATTACAGTGTGCTGGATACGGAGATCACCTGGAACAGACAATGCAGATAATATTAACATAATCTGGGCAAATCACATCCAAACTGTTTACTGGAACTGAAATATTAAATAACATTTTGATATCCAGCCTAGGGTAATAACTTTATTGAACCAAACCAAAGGGTACAAATGGATAACTTGTTCAGATCTCCAAATCTCTACATGAGGAGTGGGATGGAATGAGAGTGAAGGAAGGAAGAAACTTGCTCCACATGACTTACTTATTCAGAGTTCAGACCATAGTGTCTTCAGATGTCCTAAAGAATAATAAGAGGATTTGATTCTCTCTCAATAAAGACAGAAGCGGCACTATGTCTTTGTGAGGGTGTTGTCCTTGGAACCCCTCACAGTTTGTCTGCCTTCATCCTACAATGCCTAAACTGCAGCTCCTGGGTCCAAGGCAGGTAAAAACAGGGAAGGACCAGCACCAAGTGGTGAGAAAGAACTGGGAGATGATGGGAAACACCTGGGAAAGGTCAAGCTACCTGATGGGACAGGAGATAAAGGAGAAGGGGAGGAGGAAGATGGTGTGGACAACTTGCCAGAGACAGCATAGATGGAAGAGGAAGAGTAGAAGGAAACAGACAAGGAACTGAAACCCATATTTTGGACCACTGAAGTACCAGCTGGAATGGAATCCCTTTTTGGAGTCCTGGTGGATGTCCCCGTGGCAAAGGGAAGAGGACACAGTGCCTGGGCTCCTGTCTTTAGTCCATCCATGCTGTTGTTTCCTGTTATAGCTCTGTGGAGACCTTGGTGACCAGCAGAGCACCTGGTCCTCACCCTGACTCAATGAAGGTCACAAGTGCCCAAAGGAGTGCCCAAGGTGGCAACAGGAGAGGTTCAAGAGGCTCAGACGTTGTTGACTGGCTGACGTTACAAACCCTCACTAAAAGTTATGAGTTGATATGGGGAACTCTTGAAGCATTGGTGGCCCCAATGGATTGTAAGTGAGCTGGCCCCAGTGATGGGATCTCCAAGTCAATCAGAGATTGGATTTGATGGGGAGCTAGTGTGGTTAACTGAGCCCCCTGCTGGAGTAGCAGGACAGGGTTCAAGCAGCTCTGGAAGTTTAGAATTTATTGAGACCATGGCTAAGGGGGGAGTCCTCATTGTGCTGGCGCTGTGAGGGGGTGGGAGCACTCACAGTGATCAAGACCAGGACAATAAAATTTATATGCTTCTTTATTTTATTAGGTTTATTTTATTTTTAGTTTTGTAGGTTTAAGCTAAAAACAAAATAAAGTGAACTAATAAAGAAAAGGAAAACAAAATAAGAACAGCAAATGCAATAATATTAGGCTCCTTATATTGGTGATACTAATGGCGATGTAATGTTCAGACCGATTTTAATAGCATTTACTCCTGAGGGTTCTGCCAACTCTGTATTTCTTGAAACATACACTGAGACAACAGTTATATCTTGAAGAAGTGGGAGGGGGCGGTTTCTTCAACTTTTCTCAGGGAGGACTAAAAGCTTAGTGGTTTTGTCCATCTCAGGGCATAGATGTTTAAACATAGCAATTATGAACATTTGACAGAAAAGCTGTAAAGAGTTTCCGTATCTACTGATAACAATGGGTTTTCTGACCATATAACTACTTTCTGAACACGTGACATCCCAAAAAGGACAAATAGATTTTCATTCCAATTCAAAAAACAACCTAATTTTGATAGCAACACATTACTAATACTTGTTACTTGCCCTTAAGTAAACCATTACTTGTAAAATTTAATGACAACAGTGTTGCTTAATCTGTTGCTTAAAAATAATAATACTGTAATGTATGTTGGACAGTGTCACTGAAGCAACCAACATGAATTTGACACAACTCCGGGAGGCAGTGGAAGATAGGAGGGCCTCGAGTGCTCTGGTCCATGGGGTCACAAAGAGTCGGACCTGACTTAATGACTAAACGACGACAAATGTATGTTCTGTTATGGGTATTGCCATCAGTCTTGTTATTGTTTATTTATGCTCCTTTTTGTGTCTGTAGCAATTATATATTTTATATTTTTGTTGTACACCACCCAGAATAGCAATTGGCTAGATGGGTGGCATATAAATCAAATGAATAACTGAATCATTCTAAGCTCTGCTGGAAATTTAGGTTATCTAAGCAACAGTCTACGCACAATATGACTGCAGAGCATGTAGCTTGGATGAAATGGAACAGTTGTTTTGAGCATTCTTTATAGAAATAAATAAGCATTGGTTTCTGGTTTGCCATCCCTGTTTTTCCAAGTACGATGTCAACTTCTGAACTCTCAACTGGGCAGTTCTTAGAGAACAGAAATTGTTGGTCGACTGCTTTCTTTGTCTTCCATTTCTATTTTTAGAGATTAGGCTTCCTTGTTCGTCCCTGTGAAACCTGCTATGGATTATTAGCCACTATGGCTAAGAGTGGCAGAGATCTCACATTACTGATACCTCCTGCTGCTTTCCTGCTTAGCAGGAAGTCAGCATAACTTCCTCTTCCCAATAGCACAGGGACGGCTCAGGGAAGGCATGTTCTTCAAGTCTTCCCTCTCCCCAATCCCTCTTTTAGGGACAGCCTGTGGGAAAAACCTTTCAGTGCTCCACTGAAGCAAAGCAGAACTACTTCCCTGGCAGAGGCAACAAAGGTAGTGAGACTTTTACATTTTGTAGTAACTCCTTAATGTGTGACTCCCCTTTCCATGTTTGTTTATTACCATGAAGGCTCATGAGGCTCTAATCTGAATTAGTACCCCCACATGCAGGACCCGTCCGTGCTAGGCATTTGTTCAACTTTTTTTGCACCCTTAGTATTGATAGTGCGTCTCTGTGTCCACATCACACAAGACTGAAACTAATGTCAGCAGAGGCAAAACAGGACAAAGAACCTTTACACCATCAGGGTATTTCTGTTGATTTGCTCCAGTGCAGTATCTGTTCATAAAAGCCCTAGTACCATATTGATGCATGCCAGTCCATTCATCTTTCATATATAGGGCATGTACTCTACTCCTTGGGGCTTTCCCTTGTGGTGGTGCAGGAGAAGTAAGTTGTGGTCCAATCTGAACTAACAGTAGTAAGATGACACACCTTGCATGAAAGGAATCTGTATATCTTGCCCATTCAAAGAGATGCCACCGCCATGTTTCATTTTAATGATGTTGTTTTCCTCCTGGAGCTGAACAGAGACTGAACGGGTACACACAGCATCAGGTTCATCAGCACACTAAAAGGGAAGCAAAATGTTAAACGTGCATTGCTCTATCGATTTAGATGCATTTTCAATCCATCCATTGCTAGGATGTCGTGTTAAATTTGTTTCAATAGTGGTTCAGATTCTTCTCAGCCACACTAGACACTGTTCCAAGTCCTCCATACAGAGCATGTTACCATAGTATCTTGAGACTGAAGGATGCCTAATCTAGTGGTTCAGATATTCCATCATAGCTGTTCTTATATACCCACCCAATATAACAAAACAGTAACACAGGGGTCAGAAAAATGCAGCTTTTCATGAGTGACAACATGTTTACATTTATACTTAAACTAGTTCAATAGACATCCCCTCTCTTAATAAGGAAACTATTGTTACGAGGAGTTATAGATATGTAACAGAGAAATTTTCAGTTCTCAGGATGTAGCCAGATTGAGAGAGAGGTGAGGCAGAGAACCACAATTATATATTAGTACAAAAACTTACAGACATGTATTACATAGGTATGTCAAGTATTTCCATGAGCAAGGAACACACATACCTTTGATTCTGTTGGATTTTTTTTAAAGGGAAGACATAGTAAAACTGAGATTCTACATGCACAAACAACTCATGGCAAATATGAGAACAGATATGGGAGGCAGTGATGCTGAACAGTTCTGCTGCTGCTGCACCAGGATTTGACCATACAAATGTAGCCAATGCTGAGATTTTACTTATTTCCCAGCATTGGCTGCACTCAGATGACCTAATTGTGACTTAATAAGCCAGGATACACTTGAGCAAACAAACCAGGAAGCCACACTTCGCTGGAGCTTCCATTATGTCCAAACTAGGAACAATGGCTACAACGTCATAGTGAGCTAGGTTCACAACTTGGTGTGTGTGTGATTTTTTTTTCTTGCAGGAAGGTGCTCTTACTTGGACTGTCTCGATGAAGACAGAAAATGAGTTCTCCTCACAATCTCTGGCAAACAGGTAGTGACAGATGCCACTGAAGGTAAAATGTTTGTTGTCAAAGCTTTTGAAATGGGACTGGCCGGTGACAGAGCATTCACCTGGAAGGAGAACAAGAAGAAAAGAAAACAAATAAGAGAGCAAAAAACGCTGACGTCAGACTGAACCAAGCCACATTTTTTCAGACTGCAGCAGAATTCACTCACATTTATGAAGGCAAAACCAAAGGAAAAAAAGGCAAGAAGTTGATCTAAGCACATTCCCATCTCTTTAAAGAGTGGGCAGCAACACAGAGAAGTCTGTTTGTCTCAAAACATGTTTCTCTCTGCAATCCAAATAAACAGCCCTAAAATCTGTAGGACTGATAAAAGTGTTTAAGTTCAGCTGTTCTCAAATGATATGGCAAAATAATAGGATGGGTATACTCCCTTGAGAGTACAGAAGTCTGTAAGTAGTATAAAGGACTTACCAATGTGTTTCACTTAATTCATTTTGGTATGACTGCAATTTAATAATAATACAGAGTTTTCACATTGTGTTTGAGGGATCCTACTGTCTTAGGAGATGCATTAAAGTGTGGATCAGTAATGGCAGACTAACTACTTTGTAAGGCATCTGGCCCACCTCCAGCATTCTCATTTTGCAGAATACAACCGAAAGATAGCAGCGTGCAGTTTCTAAGAAAGCAGTTTCTTAGACCACGGCTGATATTCTCCTGAGTCCTTTCTAAGAAAAAACTTGGAGGTGGCTTGCACTGTGGTTTGAAAGGTCCCTACGTAGATGTGTATATAGTTCCTGGACTTCTGGAAGTTTTCCATAGAGTCTAAGGAAACAGTTGGCTGAATTTAGAGATTCTGCTCTAAATTTTTTTCCTGTGCAGATACTTGAGACTCATAAATGGGATGGGAAGGAGATTGTCTGAGAATGGGTCAATCCATTCTTTTTTAGGAGAAAGGCAGGGTAAAAATATTTAAAATAAATAAATATTAGATAACTATGTTAAAGTGTACTACTTATACACTGCTCTATAGTGCTTAAAGCACTCTCTGGGCAGTTTACAATTCAATTATGGGCTATACATTGCACACACTTATGTCAGTTAGCTGGGTACTCATTTTACCGACCTCAGAAGAATGGAAGGCTGAGTCAGCCTTGAGTCAGCTGCCTGTGCCTGTCAGAATCAAAGTCAGGTTGTGAGCAGAATCTTGACTGCAGTACTGCAGTTTAACCACTGCACCACAAGGCTCCTCATACCAGGTTAACAGATGGGCAAGGACATGAGTTTTGCTTTCAAAAGATGAGGTGGGGGAGGGAAAACAAGACATTCCTCACAAGCTGGAACTCTTGCAATATATAATACTGACTTACTGGCAGGTCATTCTTTGTACCGGTTTCAACATACCTGGGCAAGGTTCGTTGCTGCAGATCCAGATGCCATGCCTACAAATACTAAGATATACAATTTTTGGAAAAATGAATTAGCTACACAGGTAAATTTAATTTCTGTTATATTCATAGAAGAATCAGTGAGCAGGTGTGTGACTGGATACTAATCTTTGTGGGATGTGGGCACAGAGATAGTGCAGGCATTTCTTTCAGCCACTATTAGCCAGAGAAGAGGAAGGATAGAAGTTCTTATTCCAACACCTGTAAATCTGCTGCTTCCCTGCAGCTAATAAAAACTCCACAACAGAAGGAGGAATCATTTACAATGGGGAATCAGCATAGGGGGGAAATCAGATTTTCCTCTTTCTGCAGCCCATCTCCTAACCTCCCCACAACCACTGCTACTATAACATTTTTTTGAGGGGGGGGAAGGAAAATTTAAGAAAAGGCACAGTGTGAGTCACCTACAGATCTTCCAGATCAGATGTCCTTAATGGACACTTTTAGGGTTATCAGTGCCATATTTAACATGTGGCAGAACTACTGATGGCCTTTACGGTTACAGTTTTTTAGCTTCATTACCACTTCATTCAAAGCTTGGAATGTGGGCAGAGAAAATTACATTAACCGTTAGATGGCTCAAATTTTGTTTATATTAACATTAGAAAGAAGATTTTTAACCTGTTAAAATACTTCTTAGTTTTTGAAAGAAACAAGATAGCATATGTTTACTTGGTGGATGCTACTGCCCCCTGTAGTGAATTTTATCATTGGATTTTTCAAAAGTGCTCTTTTTGCCATTTAACTTTCCTTCTCCAGTCTGGTACTTCACTTTAGTCATTCATCCCACAGTGCAAATACCATGTGGGGATAGTGGGGTTTATACTTCAGTACATCTAGAGAGTGTTTGATTAGAAGGTATCATCCTAAATTAAGTTTTCTTATTTATCTGCATTTCCTTTTTCTTCGCCCCCTCTCCTCTCATCCCTAGGACCACGTACGCTCTTCACTCTCCTTTCAAACATCATGGGCTATTTGACTAGGTTAAAAGTTTGATAATGTGTTGATCCAATTACAGCACACTGATCCAGTTCAGTAGAGCAAAATGTCTACAAAGATCACAGGAATCAAGGGTGGATAATTTTTTATCAGAAATATTTTCAGCGCTTTTGAGAACACGCAGGACATTTCAGGTCATGCTGATACAGTTTCCCAGTAGTGTAAACAGTTTTAAAATACACTGGGAAAGGAAATGTATATAGCATGATCAGAACTAAGCTATATGCTACAGTAATACATCTATGGTTTAGGCATCAGGCTGCATAGCCAGAGACTGTGAGTTCAATTCCCCTCTTTGCCTCCTTGACAGGGCTGGACTTGATGATCTATAGGACCCCTTCCAGCTCTGCAGTTCTCAGATATTTTACAAGGATGATTAAATATTTTTATGCCTCGCTATCAGCCTGATTTCCCTACCTGAAGTGCAGAAGAGGTAGAAACTTTGTACTTGCTCAAGAATTGTAAATTGTACCTAATATGAGGTTGTTAAGATAATGACGAAGTCGCTGACAAGCTGGCGAGGCTTTGACAGAGCGACTAAGCTTTGCCGCACCTCCACGGAAGACGCGAGATCTTCAGGGTCTCATGAGACTTGTTCAGAAAGTGGGAGAATGCCCCTGGCTATATAAGGGGCGTTCTCTTCACTAATCATCCTTCGGACACCCGCCCACCCTATACTAGTGTGAGTTTTTCTGGTCGCCTCTTAGGGGCCGGATAGGAATTTTGACCTTCATCCTGATTGGCACATGGATGGGGGTGTTTTTTGCCTATCCCACACTGGTAAGGGTTGTTGGCATTTTATGGTGGAAATCCGGTCACACTGGCGGGTAGTGCGGAAAAAACAAGTATTTCTCAGTGAGTCCCACTTTAAGATCAGGTAAGCTAACACCGCATCGGACTTCCCAGGGCTGCGAATCGTGCGATTCAGCACCTGGGTGGGAAAGATGCGCTGGGCCACTTCCGGACCAACAGTCATCAAGTAAAGATGGCTCGAGGTCGGGGTGTGTTTATTAGCGGCCAGCCAAGTTCCTGCTGTCCTTAAGACTGCGAGAACCTGGGTCCGGGGACTCGCCCATATGATTACAGATTTATCTGTTTCCGCACTACAGCAGCCCCCCCCCTTTGCCAATTGATTGGCAAAAAATTATTTGAATGATTATCAATAAAGTGTGGCCCATGTTTTAATCCATAATACTTGTCTCGCGTCTTTATTCCGGGGTTGGGTGGCAAAGGCAGTTATTCAGGAAAGTAAGGGCTGGAAGAAATTAGCAACCATATTGGCTGGTATTGCTCATTTGTCTGTTCTCATGGAGATGGGGGGATAATGTCTAGTTACATGTGAACATATGTGTGAGACAGAGAGAGACTGTGGGGAAGTTTATTTGCCTGAAAGGCAAATACTGTAGCTACTCCTCTATTTCCACCCAGCTCCCATAGAATTTTGTAGCTATTGGCTCACTGGTGGGGTTGAAATTGTTAGACTGCATACCATAAACTTGAAGGAACCTGCACAGCATGATTAGCAAGAAATGTACAAGCTGAAAATAAGATCAAAGAGAGCAAAATAATACCATGCTTCACTGTACTATTATGTGAGCTTGTTGAACACCAATTTAATCTGAGCAAAGAGAGTAACAATGTCAATCAAATGTACTTCGGAGTATTGTAGCTAGCAAGTATTATTTGGATGGACTGCAGCCCACTTCTCCAGATGCAACTGAAGAAGTGTACAAAACCTTATGCCCAATAAAACCTGCTAGTCTTGAAGGTGCCCAAAGAACCTTGTTATTTTTGCTACAATAGATTAACACAACTGTAGCCTGAAAATAACCAAATACACACCCATTTATGTTAACCTAATTCTCTACTGAAAGTAACAATATCCCTCCTAATGATAATGACTATCAATTGTTGGCCAGAATGCCATTCATTAAGCCCACCAGTGAAGAACCCTCAGGGTACCGTATCAATGGCAAATTGCTGTAAATTCATGAAGTCAGTGCAGGCATTTCCTATCATTCAAGGAGTCACACAAACAAGATTTTACCAATCTGTCTTTTTTTAAACTTACTGATGGCTAATGACATAGTTGGCAGGGGCAATACTCTAAATTTATGTTTACAAGAGCTTGTCGCAGGCTGAAGTGTTTAGTCAACAGTTTAAGACCATTTGATCAACTAAAAAGTTGCCATGATTGAGCAGGCAGCAGAGTTCTTTCAAAGGCTAATTTCTCTTAAAAATGAGAAGTATTAACAAGGTTATAGTTGCATTGATAAATGTATGCAGTACATTATCTACATATTAAAAATGTATTTCTTTAGAACTCCAGGTTTATGCATATACAAATCTAGGTCAAGTTTACCATTAAGAAGAAAATGTTAATAGAAGAACTAAAACTCATGTAACCAAGGACTCTTTAATAAGGTAATTGCCCTAGGCAACCACACTTGTTCCACATGCATTTCCTGCCATTGCACTGGTGTGCACATTGAGGGCCATCTTATGCATGCAACAGAGTCAAGTGGAGAACTCCTTCCTGGACTATACCACTGCATGTTCCACTCACACAGCTTTGCATTCTAATGTTACCCCCACCAATAAAGTTTCAATAGTATGATAAGGACAAAATTACACTTAGCTTTTCTCTCTCTAACATGCCAGTTTTCTATGTGAAGATATAGTGGTGGTTTGATGCTAGAGCACTAAAACTTCACCTGCTACAGCACAATCCAAGAAACATATTACCACTTGATTCTGCTGAATAGGTAGGCTGGTATTCACTGGCCAGAAGTATACTGTGCATCAGGAATCCTGTGGCGTATGAATTACACTGGAAGGAGCCAACACCTTCCAATCCTCCTTAATCACTTGTGACAAATGATTTCCATTATAAACTACCCACCAATTTCCTCACATCATCATATTTACCATGAATTGCAGTCCTGGTAGACAGAAGAGCCAGGAGGATAGTGCTTGCCAGAATGTACACAGGAGCACTCAGAGCTCTCAACACAGAAGTCACCATCGAGTAGCTTGCCTTCTAAAAATGAACAGCAGATATTTTAATGATAGATAGAGATCTAGATGTAGCATATGTATACTGTATATATATAGAGAGAGAGAGCAGATAGATAGAGAATGGGAGAGAGTACTTGAATTGTACTTACTCTGCATTTAATGTTTTTAAAGTCATTTTTTTACATAAGATTTATTATCTGCACCATTCAATTATTGCTGCTCCTGCAAACTTTAGGACATTTACATTTCCAGGGGAGGGCAGGGGTGAGAAATACGGGTCAACATCTCAAGGATATTATTAAGAGTATTCATTAAAGACATATTAGGAGTCCAATTCATATAGCTAAATTTCTGGAACATTGCTTAATGCACTAATTATAAGTAGGATTGTACTGAACGGGAAATCTGAGAAAAAATTATATTGAGCTGTTTCTGTTGTTGTTGTTAAACGATGGGTGGTAAGAGATTATCTTTGAGAAAGATTTAAATGACTTCTCCACAAGCACCCTTTCCCTTTCATACACAAGAGAAATAAAATTGTTTGGTGCACTGCTCTCTATATTGGAAATGAGCTCTCATCATTGTTTCCTTCAATTAGCCTGACTCTGAAGCAGTTTGCCACTATGGGAAATGAACCAGAATAATGCATATTCACCTTAAAGCTACCCTGATACTATGTTAATATACAAAGGTGTTCCTGAAACCAAACACATGGCCATCTATACTCAGATATTTGGGGGATGGACCCAACTGACCAATCCCTGGCCCCCAGAAAACACACACAAGGTAATATACAAATACAGTTAGGGTATACCCCCCCAACCCCGGAAAATGGAGCAAATGTCTAGGGAAGAGTCAATACACCTTTAGTAATGAAAAGGCATGCAATGAAGCTGGTAGGGCAGAAATATGGAACTAAACCATCTTAGTTAAGAAGCTTCTGTTCTTTAGGAACCAACATTGGACTTATTAAAAGAATCATGCCATGGGGTATAATTAAGCCCTTAAAAGATTAGGGGCTCAGGTCTCCTGGAAACAAATGGACGTAAAACTTCCAGAAGCTAATTGTTATGTGGAAATGGTAAGAATTCGTTCAAACTTCAAAGACAGCAAAACTGGACAATTAATTTCTCCTCCAAGTCGCCCCCAATAAAACAGTAAAACAAAAGCTCACGTAAGTTTCACCACAGAGTATCCCAAATCAACTATTCTTTTTCAGTTACAATTAATGTAAAATGGGAAGGGGGAGAGAGAAAAAGCAATGGTTGCAAGGTTGTTGGTGGGTCCTTTCCCATCACACTGATGCAGAAAACAAAGTCCTATTCCTATGTCATGGCCCTCATTTCACACCTGAAGACAGCACACTCCTGCTCCACTTGAAGAAAAAATGGCAAGGCGAGAGGAGGATGCAACAGCAGCCAAGCCACCTTTGCATACCCTCACTGGCTCGGAAGGATCTCACAGCCAAGCCAATACAGAAGGGGTGACCAGGAACATTGCCCGTACCATATCACAGCAATTTTTCCATATCACTCTTCCATGCTGCCATGGTTGTGAGGAATCCTGAGAGGTAGTCATCCAGGAAGATAGCCAGTCTGAAGAGCCGCTCAAAGCAAGTCTCTCTCATGAGCAGCAAGGACTGGCCCAGAGCAGGGAGGAGTCGCAAATGTGCTCTTTTTGTTTCTCTATCACACAAGACCCTCATTCTACGTCATGCTAGGACTGATCCAGTGTACCATCCTTCCCCTTAGAATGCATGTGGCCCTCCACATACTGCTGAACAACTCCCATTGTCTCTAGCCAGCATGTGCCATGGTGGGGGATGATGGGAATTGCAGTGCAACAACACCTGGGAGGTCATGCTGTTCTCATTTTATTCTAGAAAGTACAACCAAGGAAAGGCTGATAGGGTGTGGGATGATAGTAAGACTCTGTGTGAACACTGTGTTCCAGAGCAAGTTCTTCAAATATTCTGTGACGCTCTGGGGGTTTGTAGCAAGCATGCAAGTCAGCAGATAAATTCACATGAAACAGATTCCCTGAAAACAGAAAAGTTGAAAACGAAGGCCCTCAGCAGACAACTCGTGGCTCAGTTTTGCTCTACAAACTACTATAGTTGGTGAGCTAGCATGTGACCGAGGGTCTGTTTGGTTGAAAAGAGTATATTATACAGATATTCCAGGCTCAGAAGAAGAAACCCCCTCAGAGTGAAGCTCCCCCTCCCTTTCCTTCCCTAACAGCTGAATTCAGAAGCAACCCAGAATTTGCACGTAAAGGGAAATAATTAATGGATGATCATCAACCACACTGGAACGTGCATAAACCTTTATTTATTTTTATTACATAGTAGCCCTTTCATAAAACACACATACAGGCTGTACAGAACTGCCTTATTTGGGGAAACAGAAAGGAGAGAGTGAGAAGAGAGATAAATAAATACTTTCAGACATTTGAATACAGACACACTGATTTCCTTCTTTAAGTAAAATGGGAAATGCTCTTGCCCAAAGATTTTCCCTGTAAACAAATGATGCTATTGCCCAAAGATTCCTTTGGTAAATAGATAAGCAAATAAATTACCAGGGCAGCTGCAGCCATCAACGCATTTTTCTTGACACACTTCATTGATATTCAGGTTCTGGCAAGTTTTGGCACAAGGAGAGGTGCACTCTTTATATTCCAAGCCAACTGGACATCTTGGCCCTAAAAATGTTAACACACATTTGAGATGCATAAATAAACAAACAAATAAATTTCTTAGAAACAGTAGCCTGCTTAATTAATTGGAAGGAAGATTTATTGAAATTGAAGCCTTCTGCCTATTTGGTTTTTCAAAAGTTATTGTTAATAATAATAATAAATGTTTATTGCGGTCATTGACCGGCAAAAGTAAGATACATTTTTAAATTAGGAGACATAAAAACAATATAAAAACATTAAAAACACTAAAAACACCAAAGCACTAAAATATCTATATACATATATACATCTTACTAAATATCTCCTACCTCCCTATCATAGGCCTTATCTACGGGCTATTGCAGCTTGCATAGAATGCCAGCATTGTTACTTTGATGCTCAGAGAGCCCATGTGATCATTATACCAAATTGGTATACACCAATTTACAGATCCTATAGCTGCGCTTTAGGTGGAACCTTTCCTTCATGGATTTTAATTGCAGCAGCACAGAATTTAGCAACTTGTTTCAGCATATCTGAATTTAGCCCAGTATATCTGCCAGTCCATCACCCTGTCAGCAAAAGCTGTGTGTAGTGTGCCTCTGATCGTCCAGGAAATGCCCAACATGGACTTCTCTGAACAACAATTTTTGAAAGAATGCAAATCCCTGCACACCTTTCTTATCACAATCACCAAAGAGATAAGCAGACAGAACATGTTGAGTGGCCCCCCCGTCTTTCAAGCTGGGTTCCGCCCTCAGAATAATAATAATCACCTGGCCTAAGCTTAGAAGATATAATAAAGAATACTAACAGTCCCCTGTACATGGGACGTGGTGGCGCTGCGGGCTAAACCGCAGAGACGCCTCTGTGCTGCAGGGTCAGAAGACCAGCAGTCGTAAGATCAAATCCACGTGATGGAGTGAGCTCCCATTGCTTTGTCCCAGCTCCTTGCCAACCTAGCAGTTCAGAAGCATGTAAAAATGCGAGTAGATAAATAGGTACCACCTCAGTGGGAAGGTAAAACAGTGTTCCCTAGTCACGCTGGCCATGTGATAACGGAAACTGTGTTCGTACAAGCACTGGCTCTACGGCTTGAAAATGGGATGAGCACCACCCCCTAGAGTCCCACATGACTGGACTAAAAAAAATGTCAAGGGGAACCTTTACCTTTAACAGTCCCCTGAACGTGACTGTATTACAGAAAATTCAGAAGTGTCTTATTGTTTAAGTTTATGCTGTTTTTTTAACTGCTGGCCTACCTCCTCTACCATTTCTTATTGTGAACTTTTGCAAATTTTCTCTAAAGTGTCAGGACTCATGCGTGGATATTCAAAATTCATACATCTGACACACATGGTGAAAGTCAGTAGTGAGTTGCAACTAGAAGAAGCTTATTGAATGAGGGAGACAGAGAGAAGTTGAGTTAACCATATCCCCACTGATTCAATAGATCTACTCTAGCTGCAGCTTACTACTGGATTTCAGCCTCTGTGTGATGCACATCATTGCCCTGATGTAGCAAATGAGATATATATAGCTGAGGCAGTTCTACACCTGGTTGTATGCCCTTCTCTGCACTGTGATGCTACAGTCTTACAAAATATATTAGAAACTAGTCTTGCGGAACGCAGTGGGATTTGCTTCTGGGTAGATGTGTAGGATTATGCTGCTTAGGACCTGAGGTGCATGGTCAACAGGCTAGGTTACTAACTGTAAAAGCAGTTACTAATTCTCTGATGTAACACAACTAAAGCTAGACTTGCTGAAAACTGGCCTTTTGCAAAAGACATTAACATAGACCTGTACAAAGTTGTTAGGATCTTACAATGATTTTGTTTGGTCCAAATCTGAAGTGAGCTTGCTTGATTTACACCTTTGGAATAATCTGTAGATCAGAAAAGAGCTCCCCTCCAGATTCTGCATTTTTCCAATATTTGCATTACATATGAAAATGTACCAAAAATGCATAATTTTCATATTAAAATATATAATATTTCCCACAGAATTTACAATAATATTTGGAAAATATTTGCAGGTGTTTTTTAAACATAGATCTATTCAGAACTGGGATGAAGAGACTTATGTATGAACATATCTCAAACTTTTGTAGCCTGAAAATGGTCTGATGCACCCTATTAATTGCCATGGATGCCTCTCTGTCAGTTAGCATTCTACAGAGAAAGCACAGCTCTGTGCTCACACAACAGTATTCTGCACCCAGTGAAGCTCTGCAACCATTTTCAAAGACATCTACAAACGGCCTGTAAAGGCACAACAACCTCCCCTCCTCCCAGATTACATCTATGCAGACAGAGAATCATGGGCATCACTGACTTTCAATTCAGGCCAAGATATGACTCACTCTAATATTTTTCTGCAAAGTTTGGCTTGCACAGCACCATTCAGAATTAGATATTTTAGAATCCAAGTATTTAAAACTTACTGCAAGCACTGCTAGCTGGCCATCCTTCCAGAATCACACCTTGTTGAGCACAGGCTCTAGCATACTCAAGAAAAACGGGACAGTGACAGTATTTCTCGTTGGCACATTTGCACATGTCTTCTTCACAGAGATCAAGGAATTGTTCCAGATCAACGATATGGTGACATTTGGAAAATGCAGTGGATGTCCTTAGTAGCTGACAAATTTCTAGAACACCCTGCAGATACAGAACAATTGGAACTGTCACAGAAATTCTCACAGTAGAAGATCAAACTACAGATAATCTGTCACTAGAAACATAAATCCAATTGTGTTCCAGAGAAAAGTCTGGCAGGGCCTCATGATGAAGCAACTGTACTTAGAAGTGAAGCCTATACTTAGCTGCTGATGACCAATCACAAAACAAAGCAGGCTAGTTTGCAAACTATGGACGCTTGTGCTGTGACAATCAAATATTCTCAGCATTTAAGGGATTTTCTCTTCTAGTGAAGTGCAATATGTAAAAAACAAATAGTCTAGCCCTAAGTTTATGGACCAGAGATAAGTGAAGAAAGGATGTCACATTGACTGTGTGAATTATACTGTACACCAGGAGAGAAGAGAAGCACATTCTCACCTGTCTCTCACACTGTGGGGGGGACAAATGAACAACTAATCTAGGAGATCCGTGTTTTTAAACATGGCATCTTTTCCAACTATAGGACATCTACCTTGGCTCTGAGTGACTGGAAGGGCCACCTTTTTTGACAGAACATGCTGGCATTGGCATCTAAGGAATGGGCTAAAGGTTTGCCCATACTCTCTCTCCTTAGGAGCAGTTCCTTACAAACAGAAAACAAGCAGAAGCAACAGAAAAATCTCGTCCCATATGTCCCACAGAAGGAAACATCCAGCAGTTCAACACTGGGATAATGTAATTATGTCAATAATTATATTAAAGTAATAGTTCAGATTTCACAGCCCTCAATCTAAGCCTAATAGTTCTAGGAAGAAAACCCATAGAGGGTATAACAACAGATCTTAAGAGAGTCTGGTGAGAACTTGAAAGCAAATATGGTTATTTCCTTTGCTAATTAAATGTCCATTATTGATTTCTAATGCTTTTGCGGTGGAAAAGCAGAGTATATAAACATATAATCAGATACTGTACTGTATGTGCAAACAGGTCTATGGTTAACTGAAAGCCTCACCATATCTGAACAGCAAAGAGAATTAGATCATGGACAACAAAGTTCAGGGATTTCCATCAATTTATTTTTAAAAAAAGAGGGAAAGAGAAATCCATAATTACACTCAGTTGGGTTATGACGGATCATGACAAGCGCATAGTCATCCCTGAAGTACAGGAGCATGTTCTTTCTCAGGCCTAGGCCTATGACTTCAGGAGCTGCGCCTTATCCATTTTGTAAAGCCACTTTGTATTTTATTAATATTTGATATAAATAGGTAGCTTTAATAAGCACCTTGAGGTGCCCAGATTTTTGATCTGTAACAATTCCTAGCTCCAACAGTACTTCACACAATGTTTCTGGTAACAAGTGCTAATTATTTCCTTTGCTAATTAAATGTCCATTATTGATTTCTAATGCTTTTGCGGTGGAAAAGCAGTGTATATAAACATATAATCAGATACTGTACTGTATGTGCAAACAGGTCTATGGTTAACTGAAAGCCTCACCATATCTGAACAGCAATCAAAGAGAATTAGATCATGGACAACGACTGTACTGTATGTGCAAACAGGTCTATGGTTAACTGAAAGCCTCACCATATCTGAACAGCAAAGAGAATTAGATCATGGACAACAAAGTTCAGGGATTTCCATCAATTTATTTTTAAAAAAAGAGGGAAAGAGAAATCCATAATTACACTCAGTTGGGTTATGACGGATCATGACAAGCGCATAGTTATCCCTGAAGTACAGGAGCATGTTCTTTCCCAGGCCTAGGCCTATGACTTCAGGAGCTGCGCCTTATCCATTTTGTAAAGCCACTTTGTATTTTATTAATATTTGATATAAATAGGTAGCTTTAATAAGCACCTTGAGGTGCCCAGATTTTTGATCTGTAACAATTCCTAGCTCCAACAGTACTTCACACAATGTTTCTGGTAACAAGTGCTAATAATTACAACGTTCGCTGAAGCTACTGGGAAAAGTTCAGCACCATTAAGCACCTCTCAAATAAGCCCTCTGAGCAGTAGCCTGCAAAAGACAAAACAAGGAGGCAAATTCCATAGCTTACCAGTAAGCAACTCAACTACAGCTATTGTTCTCTGTCTCTGAAAGCTGACAGTGGCACGTTACAATGGGAGAGACATTGCAGCTGTGAAATGGAGGAGCTTTGCATTGCTGAAGCAGAAGTTTGCCAACAAAGAAAGCTGTGTTCATGATGTGAAAGATCAGAATTCTTGACCAGGCGCTGGAATTGCTGGACTGCTATTAATAGAACAATGTTTTGTTTTAAGGAGAAAAAACAGATTGGACTAATGTTTGAAAATGCTGTAAAACTCTCCTTAACTGGCAAAATTCAGAGGCTTCACTTCTCCAGTCCGAAGGAGAAAGTCTCTTCTGCTGAATCAGCTTTATTCAATGGGAGATGGCGCAGACACAACTGCAGTGGTCTAATTTCGTAATTTGTGATTTGCACAGTACCATTGAAGATCAGCAGAGTGTGAGCCAGTGGGATCTGACCTTGGTGGAATACAATTCTTTTAAACCTCCACCAGCACAGCCTTCATTGCAAGAAGTGCAGTTCTCCTGTTAACAAGCCGGTGGCGTGGGGGAAAGATGCCTCTTGGATATTCCCCTTTGGGCACTAAATGTCTTAGACCAGGTCTAGTTCTGTGTTAGAGCAGAGAAAGGAAAACTACCCTTTTTGCAATATAGATCCAGAATATACTAGCCCAGAATAGCCATTGGCCACCATGAAACAGAAACAGAAAAATTGCTGGTGACTTAGTTTATCATGTTTGATGCATATTCACAACACAATCCTGCAAGTGTTTTTTCACACAAAAGTAAGCCTTGGATTTTATATGGCTTACTCCCAACAGGCTTCCAGGCTTTGTAAACTAAAATTTAATACACACACCCTTGCAGAAGCAGAGGACAGGTTATATGCAATTTTTATTTTCTCCTAGTAGATATGAATTACATCCATTAACTTCTAAGGGGAAAAGCCAAATAGTTTCACTAGGAACACCTTTCAGGATATCCATTCATGGGGGACACCAGTGGTTTGCCATCAAAACTCAAAGTTGCTTATTCCTGCACAGTCTCATTCTGGGCTTGATCTGTTGGCCACATTAAAGTGGGAAGGAATGGGGGAACTAGGTGTTTGCTGCTGTAGGTTAGGATTGGACAACAAATCAAAATTGTGTACTATGTTTTAATGAATAACACGTCTAAGTAGGGCTAGATGTGGGAGGAGTAAACTGGCTCAATCAAGATGGAAGCATCATCCGTCAGAAAGATAAAAGGTAAGAAAAACAAGCAGGGTATGTATAACAAAATCTCACTGTTTTCTATCAACAAGCCCATTGTTTCAGTTGTTGGGTGTTGCTGAAGGAAATGCATGGTGAAAACTAGGCTGGTAAAAGCAAAGCTGGTACTGTGGGGGGAACCTTAAAGCACAGTCAACTCCCTTTTTGTTTTGAGGCTGATACACTGCTGGCCAATCCCAAGAACATAATTCTTGGGATTTTCCATGTAGGCCAGAGCTAGCTAAATGTGACCTTACATAGGTTCTTGGACTGCAACTTCTATCAGATCCAGATTAACATGAATCGTCTGGAACATGCTAGTTGGTGCTGATCCCCTGGTTCTGTCTTGATCCACAAGCAGGTGGTTCTGGTTCTGGTTTGGTGAGGCAGCACCATTTTAACAGTATTGGTCTCTCTTCAGTTTTAAACAGTTTATACTGGTTAAAGTCCTTCAAAAGCAGCAAGACTGTGAGCAAGAAAATCCAGGAGGGATGTTTTCCTTTCATTAACTACGCTGAAGATATCCATGCCTGTGGAGGAAAACATGCTTGATATTGTGTAAGAGGAAATTGAAACCGAAAAGGGAGCCTCTGAAAGAGAGAGATTTGAAAAACATCGAATAATGACATTTGTGGCCTGCGCCTTGAGATATGATAGGACATTAAACCCTCTATGGGCATACGAAAAAAGGGAAGAGAAGCTCTGCCAAATTAACTCAACTCAACTGTAAGAAGAAACTTTGCTGAATTAAAGCAAAGGAGTTAAAGCTCAGGACGTAAGAGAAGGATAATGAAATGAAATGAGAAATGAGAATCTCCTAATGTCCCTTACAAAAGGGAAAGAAAAGACATGCTACGCTGTTTCCCTGAAAATAAGACCTAATCTGAAAATAAGCCCTAGCATGATTTTTCAGGATGCTCATAATATATATAAGCCTAAATATAAACCCCAGTTAAGTGAAACCCCACCCTCCGCCATGCTGCAGCAACCAGAAGATCACATGATTGTATTTGAATCAATGTACAGTATATAATGTGGCCTTAACTAGAAAACAGAAGACGTTAGCTAAGCAGAGCAAGCTGTCTGATTACTTTACCCCCATGAAACAGAAGAAGAAAAAGAATGGGGAAAAAGAGAAGTGGCAAAATTCCACTCCAGTTCAGCATTGGATGACATGTATATCAGAGATATCAGAGATAGAAGTACAGGAGGATGCTTTACCAACTCTGAGTGACAAAAGAATACATAATCAATACACTCCAAAAGCAAGAGACCATAATGCCTTCAGATGTCATCACTATATCAGGAGTTTACTTCTACAAAAGTTGATAACAGTTTTGGTAATTGCTTGGAAACTGACATGAGTGATAGCCCAGTCAACAAAAGCTCCTTAGATCAGCAAATCACAAGACAACAAGTATACCAAAGGGGCTAAAGCTCCTTTGATCAGCAAAGGAGCTTCTTGGTGCAGTGGTACAGCTGCTGTTCTGCAGCCAAAACTGCACTCACGACCTGGGGTTCAATCCCAGGTAGCCAGCTCAAGGTTGACTCAGCCATCTATCCTTACAAAGTTGGTAAAATGAGTACCCAGGTTGTGGGCGGGGAACAATGTGTAGCCTGCATAATTAACTTGTAAACTGCCCAGAGAGTGCTTGAAGCACTATGGGGCAGTATGAATATCTGGACCAAGATACTGACACAACATCTAAAAGGCCAGAGAATATTGATAAATAAATCTGGAAACTTAAACTTTTGCAGCATAAATTAATATTTTATCCATGGGGCAGTATGAATATCTGGACCAAGATAGTGACACAACATCTAAAAGGCGAGAGAATATTGATAAATCTGGAAGCTTAAGCTTTTGCAGCATAAATTAATATTTTATCCCAAACCTAAGGGACTAATTTTTTATCCAAAACCTAAGGGATTATTTATTCAAAGACAGCACAAATTACATCTTTGTGCTTTCTGTAAGCATTTATATCTGGGGAAAATACCGGAGCCAATATTACTTATATTGAATATCTGAGTAATAGCTATAAGAGTAAACAAGCAGTTGTTACTTTCTATGAGTCAAATAGTTAGTAAATTATGCAGAAGAAAGTTAGAGCTTTTTTAAAAGAAGTTCTGTTTCCAGGTTGTTTGAAAATACTGCCACCCTGATAAAGAGAAGAAGGACCATCAAGGAAAACAACAACTAGGAAAAGATAACAAATTCAGAGAAGATCTTATACAATGGGAAGACATAGAAGCACGCAACATACCCCACCATTATGATAGAGGGAACATAATAAATCTAGGTGGAGGTGAGTTGGTTGAGGAAGGAGCCCCAGTTAGAGATAGGAAATTATAAGAAAGATTTATTTTCTAATTGGTCTAGTCTTCCAACTCAGAACCGAAGGAAGCAAGACCTTTTCTTAGGAAAGGAACCTGTTCAGTAATGAGGGGATAGGCCTTATGGACTCCTATAGTGCCTTGCCGTTAATTACAAAAAATGAAATTCTTGCAAGACTACAATCTTTACTAGTCACACTGGCCATGTAACCACAGAAACTGTCTACGGATAAACGCTGGCTCTATGGCTTGGAGACGGGGATGAACATTGTGCCCTAGAGTCGGACACGACTGGACTAAATGTCAAGGGGAACCGTTAGAGTCTTTAAAAGTGCTATTGTTAAGCAAGCAATTAGACCAGGGGGGTCAAATAGGAAGAGAAGGTTCTCAATTGGAGGAAAGTCACCCACAAGAAACTGAGTCATCAACAGATGGAGAAGAGTATAAAGTAGTCCATAAAGTTATGACAGACAGATAGGTTTAAACACAACTGAGGCCCTGATCACATGAGATAAATGTTATGTTAGTTATCCACTAATTACGTTGGTATTTTTTTCCTGGTCACACGCCGCAGAGTCAAGACCGAGATATTTTCCTGGCTAGCAGTGTAACTGCAGAACACTGTCCAATTGCCAGGAGGGTTTTGTTATTTTGTACCTTTGTTGTACCAGTGCATTCCTTACCAGGATTGCTTGTGTGCACAACCTGCTCTGCTTTTTTTCAGAATTGATGTCAGGAAGATGGCCACCATTACTGCACCGTGCACATTATTTTTTTTAAAAAAAAATTGTGCCCAGTACATCAACACATTAGTAAAAGTATGTCACCGGAGGGGCACTGCCATTATATTATCGGCAAGTGAAGTATGTCACCGGAGGGGCACTGCCATTACATTATTGGCAAGTTTTTTTTTCCTGTGGGAAGATACATTGAAATGTTGGTATGGCATGTTAAGGTGGTGTATTAATCCTATTTTAATATTGTAATGATATGTTGATTGTGGTATTAATCCTATTTTAATATTGCAATGATATGTTGATTGTACAATAAAGATTTTGTCTGCTACTAAAAATAAAAGCACACTGAAGTTCTTTCCACAAATTTACAAACTTTTCAGAGAAAAATGAGGTGAAGGGAAGTGCCCCCAGCTTGCTAGTCAGTAGCAGTCTCAGGAAACATCTGATGTGGGAATACCCACATCATTCAAGGGAACAAGAATGGTTTAACATAGCAAGATCTCCCTTCATCTGAAATTCTATTGTTTGGACCATTAATGATGTTTGTTTGTTTGTTTATTCATTTATATCCCACTCACCTGGTCAAATCAACCACTCTGAGCGGCTTCCATAAAAAGTATACAGTGAAGCATAAAAATGTTTCAGATAAACAACACCACTTATAATAAAACAAATAATAAATGGAAAGAGAAAGGAAATTAAGTATTGACAGGAGGGAAGGCCTGAACATATAACCATGTTTTTAGTTGACTCTTAAATATGCCCAGCGTAGGGGCCGCACGAATCGCTGGAGGAAGGTTATTCCAGAGGCGAGGAGCCACTGCCGAGAAGGCCTGATTTCGTGTTCTTTCCTTCCGGGCCTCCCTCGGTGTTAGGCTCCTCAGCCTCACCTCTTGACTCGTGTGGGTGATCCGGGTAGATCTAGGTGGGAGCAGGCATTCCGCCAAATATCGAGGTCCTAAACCGTTTAGGGCCTTGTATATAAGCATTAATACTTTGAAGTTATGCAAATACTCACTTTTCCTTTCTTATATGAAATGAAATACCCATTTACTTAAGTGGGAGGGTTCTCTCTCTTATGTTGTTGTGAAAATAAAAGTGTCACCACACAAACCTTATCTGCGGCCTCTGAGGAAATGTTGCAGGTGCGGCTTGGGGAGACCACTCTCTCACATCGCTTCTCCTCACTGCTCTTGGCCCATGAATTAGCAAAATTGTAGCTGTCCTCTTCCAAAATCCCTGCAGATGGAAAGAAGAAGAAGAAGAAGCAGGTCACACTGCTATTCTTTGAGGTGCTGTTTTTGCTGCAATAGTGCCTCAAATATTAATAATTTAAAATACCTTTTAAATCTAAACCCAGAGACAGCAGTGGATGATATGACTAGCCCTGCAGGTCAACTGAGACTAGGATCTGTGCATGCAGGTAGAAAGAGTTAGCAGAATCCTGACAAAAGTGGTAGAGAGCACCGTACCATGTCAAGCTGCAGAGATGCACGTAACATTCTTGACAGCTCCATTATGTTAAAAGAAATAAAGAAAAAAACCCTCCTTGCAGAGGATCAAACACGCATCCTGCAACATTACAACAGGCTGTAGGTGCAAGCTGCTTCCTCTTGTGATGATTTCTATTAAGAGGGGCATTTAACAAAACGAGAGAATAAATGTTATGCCCATTGGCTGTTTGAAATGCCACTGCATCACCCTGTTAGTTAGCAAGCACTGCGAGAAAATACCAAAGGTCTGCCGGGAAGGTTAGGAAAGAAGTCTGTCCGGAACCTTAGAGTACTGTTGATGCTGGTTGGAGTTGACAGAAGTGGGTTAGATCAGTGGTCCCCAGCCTTGTGTAACCCGAGTGTTCTTGGATGATAACTCCCGGAAACCCTTGCCAGCACAACTGGTAGTGAAGGCTTCTGGGAGTTGCAATCCAAGAACACCTGGGTTACTGAAAGTTAGGAACTACTAGGATAGATGGACCAATAGCCTGACTCAGCACAAGACAGATGCCTCTGTTCCTATGTTCCCAATCCGTTTTACCAGCTCGGGACTTGACAACCTCAGTCCATTGAGGGTGTAGATCAGAGGATTGCAGACTTACTTGCAACAGAAGGCCAAAGAAAAGGAAACACTGGGTCCACTAGAGGAGGAAAGGCAGAAACTATGCCAACTTTTGTGAAATTCACACAAACACCTACTTCATGTGCCCAGAACTATGTGGGAGCTTCTCTTTCCTTCCTTCCTCAGTACCACTTAGAAGTACTGCAAATACTGCATTTATCAAAGTGAGGCTGATTGTGTCGGTCTTTCCTACTTCATTAGCCTTAGCCTTGTGGCTAAGCGGTTAAATCAAAACTCTGCTCACGAGTTGGGTTCAATCCTAGGTAACCAGCTCTAGGTTCACTCAGTCTTCCCTCCTTCTGAGGTCAGTAAATTAAGTATCCAGGTTGCTGGGGGGCAATGTGTTGCCTGGATAATTAAATTGTAAACTGCCAAGGGAATGAGTTAAGCACTATGGGGTGGTATATAAGCAGCACTTTTTTTTTGCTTTGATTGCTAGAGTAAAGAAATTTGACCATATTACCCTGATTCTGGCTTGGATCCATTGGTTACCAGTTCACTTCCATGCCAAGTTCAAGGTGCTGTTTTTGATATACAAAGGCCTGAAGTATTTGGAACCTCACTACTGAATGTTTTCTGCCAAGTTTGATTGCCTGCCTGACCAGGTCCTCACAGACCTTGTGCCTGCGTACACTAACACCTCAAGAGGCCTGGGAAATGTCAACTAGAAACCGGACCTGCATTGCTGTGGCACCTTCTTTGTGGAATATGCTGCCACAGGAGCTATGCCAGATGCCCTTTGTCTGTGCCTTTAAAAAGCAACTTAAAAACAGTGATTTTTAAGGAGCCTTTCGGGCAGAGTCTCTTCAACTGCTTATGTTAATGGAGGAGGCGGAAGGGATAGTCTGTATGGTGATCAGTATATTTTTGCTGCTTGTCATGTTGATTTCTTGGAGAGGAGGATTAATATACTATCATTTTATTTTATAGAAACTGTGCTTATTCCTGAGGTACACCACGCAGAGTAGCAATATGCTAGATGGGAGGTATAGAAATTGAATTAATCAGTTATTATACTCAACAGGTGTCCTTCTTCATTCTCAGCATTAGATGGGAAAGATCCACACATTAGCAGTCACCTAACATTGTCAGTAGCCAGCTGCGAGGCTCCCATGTGACTGTGTGTAGGAAACACAGTGACACAAGGTCCACTGCCAGTGCTGTCGAACAACTATGCTTCCTACATTTTAACTTCCTCTTTCAGCTTCTATGGCTTACATCTTCTCTGCAATGGACTAGGCCTGTCGATATGTCTTAGGCACAATGGCTGAAATACTGTTGAGCAAGAAGCATAACTTTTAGTGGCAAATTGCCTCAAGTTAAGAAATTTCTGTAGATATTATCCATTGCACACCATATCAAGCAACAAATAACGTCTATGGAAATTTCTTACAAACTAATAACGTCCATGGAAATTTCTTAACTTGGAACAAGTCACCTCTAAATGTTATGCCTTTATGTGTATTTGTGCGAGAGGATTCTGACCAATATGTTGTTGGAACCTCCAGTTTCAGAAGCAGTTTACCTGTACATGCAAGGTGATCAAGGCAAAAATGGTGGGAAGGGCAATATATTCCTTTTATGCCTTACATGTAGACTTCCCAGCAGTATCTACCCCTCATATAATGCTGGACTACATGGACCTTTGATCTGATTTAGTAGAGGACTTCTGTGATCTGTTTTTCTTTTTTAGACCCTGCACAGTTTTGCATGAAAATTTCCATACTGCACACATGGGATAGTGAAGAGGTAGTTAGGCCACAATCCAAAAGGTGCTAACACCTAATAACAAACTCACACCATCTGAAATCCAGTAGCAAGTCACAACTAGAGCAGGCCCATTAAGTCATTGGGGATTTGATAAGTCTCTTGTAAGTTCCATGCATTCAAATGGGCCTACTCCAGTTGCAACTTACTAGTGGATTTCAACCTTGTATGCTAATGACTCCTCTGGAGAGAACACCACAAACAGAAGGTTCAAACAAGTACCAAAGCATACTCTGTACAGTATTTGTTTTTTTCCCATTGTAAGATGTTTGATGAACCAATCTGGTTTGAGTACCAAAGCATACTCTGTACAGTATTTGGGTTTTTTTTCCCAGTGTAAGATGTTTGATGAGCCAATCTGGTTTAAAAAGTTCTTGCTTCAGTCTGTAGAAAAGGAACATTCAGACATTATAATGAGAACCTTTTAGACCAGCATGTCCCAAAATGGGGGTCAAGATCCTCAAAGGGATCACAAAGTGTTTTCTGATTCTTGCTTCAGTCTGTAGAAAAGGAACATCCAGACATTATAATGAGAACCCTTTAGACCAGCATGTTCCAAAATGGGGGTCAAGATCCCCAAAGGGATCACAAAGTGTTTTCTGGGGGTTGTGGGTAACCCTTGTTAAATAATTTATTAATTGATCTTTCAGAGCTGGATATTAGAGTTAGTGTGTATGTGTATGTATGTATGAGAAGGGATGACCTTATCCCATTCGCAAATGCCTTTTTATGCAAATATGGCAGGGAGTCTCATGTATGAGAAGGGATGACCTTATCCCATTCAAAGATGTCATTTTATGCAAATATGGCATATAGGGTTCCTTGCTATTATAAAAGGGGATCATGACTCAAACCTGGGCAAGACGGAAGTCCTGAGGGTGGGTTGCCCCTCCATCTGCGGTTTGGGAAACTCCATATCTTTGGGGGGGGTGACCACAAAGAGTGAGGTTCGCAGCTTGGGAGTACATCTGGACCCGGCGCTCACCATGGAGACCCAGGTGGTGTCAGTGGTCCGCTCTGCCTATTTCCATCTGCAGCCGACTGCCCGGATGAGTCCCTGCCCCAGGTGGTGTCAGTGGTCCGCTCTGCCTCCTACTACTTGCCTATTTCCATGTGCGGCGGACTGCCCAGATGAGTCCCTGCCTTGATGTTGGGCACTCACCACTCTGGTCCATGGGCTTGTAATCTCAAGATTAGACCACTGTAATGCGCTCTACGTGAGGCTACCTTTGAGGTTGTGGCGAAATGCGCTCTACGTGAGGCTACCTTTGAGGTTGTTGCAAAAACTTCAAATGGTGAAAAAGGCGGTGACCAGACCTCTCAGTGGGATGAGAAAATACCAGCACATCTCTCCCACTCTGGCCACCTTGCATTGGCTTCCCATTCGTTTCCACATCCACTTCAAAGTGTTGATGATGACTTATAAAGCCCTAAACGGTTTAGGACCTCGGTACATGGCGGAACGCCTTCTCCCACCTAGATCTACCCGAGTCACCTGTTTTATCCAGGAAAGACAGCTGAAGGGCCTAACACCGAGAGAGGTCCCGAAAGAAAGTACAAGAAACCGGGCCTTCTTGGCAGTTGCCCCTTGACTATGGAACGCCTTGCCACCGGAAATCACCCTGGCACCATCGCTGGGTGTTTTTAAGAGTCATTTAAAGACTTGGCTCTTTAGGTAAGCCTTCCCTCCAGTCAACACCTGATTATTTTTTCTCTTTAGTTCTCTTTTCCTCCATCTTGAACTTCTAAATCTGTTGATTTAATCATGTGACTCTTTTATGATATATTTTGATAGTTACAATGCCAATTTTATATGATTATACTTATGATGTTTTATAACAGTTTGTAAGCCGCCCCAAGTAGACCCTGTCTAGAGGGGCGGGGTAGAAGTCAAAAAATAAATAAATAAATAATAAACGTTTGGGAATCACTTATTATATAGCTGGTCTAGAGGGGCGGGGTAGAAGTCAAAAATAAATAAATAAATAATAAATGTTTGGGAATCACTTATTATATAGCTCTGAAGAAAACAGGTGGTATGTTTGTAGACAACTTGGATTGAAACGAAGCTTACTTTACTCATGACAACCCTGAAAGCTCTGCACTGAGGAAGCAACATTACAACCCTTGCTTGTTTTTTTAAACATCAGTTTCCAGATATCACAGTCATGCATACTCCTAAACTGAGTCAGCATCCCTTGTTTTCAAAAGAAGGATGTTTTTCAGGTACAATGAATCAAGAGAGTCACAAGAAGGTCAATCAGAAACAATGAAAAGAGACATTTGACTATTAATTTGATAATTCTTTGCCAGCACTCTAAGGAAAATTATTCCCTAAAGTTTCAAAGGGCATAAGATATTATTTTGGAAATATTTTAAACATAACTATCCTGGATAAAAATCTTAAACCTGATGCAATCATTTTTAAGTTATTTACGCATAATATATTCACTGAGTGTACAAAGACATATTTAAATATGAGGTTTATATTGAATTTACAGGGTCAAACTTTACAACCCCATTCCCTTTTTCCTGCCCCAAAGCATCTCTACCCACTATTGGCCGATAAAAGGATTTCTTTGCAGTATATAACTATCCTGGATAAAAATCTTAAACCTGGTGCAATCATTTTTAAGTTATTTAAGTTATTTAAGTTATTTATGGTAAGTTATTTTGAATTTACATATTCAAATTGTGTTGTGCTGCCAGGGTCAAACTTTACAACCTCATTCCCTTTTTCCTGCCCCGAAGCATCTCTACCCACTATTGGCCTATAAAAGGATTTCTTTGCAGTAAGTAGAGTCTTCTGGAGAAATAACAACCTAAAGGCATGAAAAAAAATTAATAGAAAATATGTTTGGCAGGGAGAGATAACACTATGTGCTGTACTCATGATCTGACAGCAGTACATACAAAAGTTATTGTCATCTGGACATCAAAATGTTATGAAAGAAGCTACAGAAACAATTACATTAAAACATGAAGAACATGTTTGAAATTAATTTGTTGTAAATTTCATTAAAATTTTGAATTAAAATTATCATTTTAAATTACTAAAAACTGCCAGTGGCAAATTACAGAAACAAGAAGTGATAGCTGTTACTCAGAAATAAGAAGTACAGGTATTTAATAGTTATAATTACTGTATACATTTTAAAATTTGTATCTTTTAATTTTGTGATGAAAAATAGTAATGAACTTAAGATTAATATATTGTTTCTAATTAATTTCTACACATGCTGTCTCTCACATTTCATTGCACCCACCTGTGAGTGCAATGACAAATACATTTCTTATATCTTATAATATATTCACCGAGTATACAAAGACATATTTAAACACAAGGTTTATATTGAATTTACATATTCAAATTGTGTTGTGCTGCCAGGGTCAAACTTTACAACCTCATTCCCTTTTTCCTGCCCCGAAGCATCTCTACCCACTATTGGCCTATAAAAGGATTTCTTTGCAGTAAGTAGAGTCTTCTGGAGAAATAACAACCTAAAGGCATGAAAAAAAATTAATAGAAAATATGTTTGGCAGGGAGAGATAACACTATGTGCTGTACTCATGATCTGACAGCAGTACATACAAAAGTTATTGTCATCTGGACATCAAAATGTTATGAAAGAAGCTACAGAAACAATTACATTAAAACATGAAGAACATGTTTGAAATTAATTTGTTGTAAATTTCATTAAAATTTTGAATTAAAATTATCATTTTAAATTACTAAAAACTGCCAGTGGCAAATTACAGAAACAAGAAGTGATAGCTGTTACTCAGAAATAAGAAGTACAGGTATTTAATAGTTATAATTACTGTATACATTTTTAAAATTGTATCTTTTAATTTTGTGTTGAAAAATAGTAATGAATTTAAGATTATTTCTAATTAATTTCTAAATATGCTGTCTCTCTTTCTGCACAACTTTTGCTTCAGACAATTTGTAATGATAAGAGTGGTCATTTACCTTACAAATGCTCTTCCTTGGTTTTCTCTCCAAAATTTGCAAAACAAAATACTTCAAATAACAGTTATTTAGGGCCATGAGATGTACCACAGCTGAATCATAGGACCCATCACCTGTATGCAGCCAGCCCTGATAACAACAGTGCATGCTACCTGAATTGCTCCCATTGCCAGGTTCCCGAGGTATAAAGTACTCAGAGGTTTCCCATTCCCTTCTTTTGGGACTTCCTAGGACCATGAAACTTGCCCAAGGCTACACAAGCTGGCTTTTCTCCTGGAGGACACAATGATTCCAGGGAATTGACCCAACATCAAAGTCTCAAATGCTGGGAATGTAGGCCTGTTCCTGAGATGCTAAAGAGCTACTGGTAGTCCCTCATCTTCTAACTGGGTACAAAAAAAAAAAAAGCTTCAAAAACTTCATATATGAAAACATATATAGGAATAGGCAGAATAAGAGGAATCCCTCCTTTAGACTTCGAATCTCCATTTACAAAATGGAGGGGAATATTATTGAGTTTGCGGAACTATAAGAATGAAAGTGAAGCCCTCTGGATACTATAAAGAACTGTATAATCGCTAAGTAATATTAAATTCTGGCAATATTAGTATATGCTTCAAATGTAATCAAAAGGAAACACCAAAATACATCATGCTGCCCACGTTCATCTTGGGCAACATTAAGTCTTACCTTCCTGGGTCATGAAATCATCTTCAGCAAAGCCATTGAAATTGCCACAGAGCCCACAGGTCTTATTATAGTGCTCGTCTGCAAAGATTATCTGGATATTCCCGCTGATGTCAGCCTTAGCCACAAAGCTATGCTGTTTGCTGGATAACTTGTAATAACCTGCCTCAATTTCTATAAATATTCCATTGGAGGCGTAGGGTATTGGTATCCTGTTTATGAGAGAAATAAAAGATGCCTTAAGATGGGATGCCCAGTATAATATATTTGTTTCCATTTAAAAGGGGCCCAGAAACCCTGCTCAGTTGCTCAGTATAAGGGTTCATCTTAACCTGAGGGCAGAGGGAATAGGCTACTCCCGCTCTCTCTCCATCCTTGCTCTGACATGTGGAGACTTAAATCTGAAGAAGAGAGCAGTCTCTACATGTGGAGCATCTTTGCGTGAATGGAAACCTTAATTTTTCAAGAATCTCATGATTCTTGCATGAGGAGCCCCTACAGGTAGCTTTTTCTACAGATTTTAGTTCATGCAAGAGCTGAAACAGAGAGGGGCAAAGCTAGCCTGTTCCCTCTGCTCATGCTTTAAGATTAACTTTTAAAAAAACTTTTGATCTTTATTGCGTTTAAAAAAGAAATTATAAAAATAAGTAAATAATTATCACAATATTAGCACATAACCAAAATAACTTTCTATTATCTCTTTCGCAAAACAGTAAATCTTTAACATTTTTACTTCCTTATTTTCCACCAGACATTTGTTTTCTTCGCAATCTTAATAATACCTTTCTTAATTCTTATTTTATATCCATATTAACAATCTGCTTTACTTTGTTTTTACTTCTGTTGAGTGTAGTTCTGCTTCTAATTTAAGTCTAAGTCACTTGGTACAGGTTTGGAATCTTTCTTCCATTTCAGTGAAAAAAGATTACCTTTTTTCATTGAACACCTGAGTAGGGTTAGTGTGGTGAATGTGGGGGTGAGATTTGAAAACTATTCAGGCACTATTTGTGGCAGTGTGAACATGCTTAGAAAGAAGTGTGTGGTCTTGCTTCATTTTTCACTGCATTCATCATTGTTACAGCACTGAGTGTAAAAGAGTTCCTCCTTCCATGTATGCTGTACGTATGAACAAGAGCCCTGAAAAATATGTGTTCTCATTTGGATGTGACGCCTTCTCACAAGAAGAACTGTTCTCTTCTTCAGACCCTGTGTTGCAACAATGGAGATCATGATGGGGGAGAATTCAAGTCCTCACTGAGCTAGGAGAGTCATTGGTTAACTTTTTTTCCCCTTGATCAATCTCTAAAGTTTGTTGTGAGAATGAAATGGCAAGGAAGAGAGCCATGTTTACCACATTTCAAAGCATCATAGAATAATGAAGCTGGAAGAGGCCTATAAGGCCATCAAGTCCAATTCCATCTTTTGAATAGAAGATAGGATAAAAAAAATTAATACAAAAATGTATGTATGAATAAATAATGAATAAATAAATAAATAACAAGTGTGACGTGGTTGGCCCTATCAAAATCTTTACCTTTTGTCACCTTGAGTTACAGTGCCATCTAAAAACAAATGAACATCAAAATGTTCCCCAAGGTACAGGGAAAGACTGGTTTTTTTCCCATTCTGGTAGTCACCTGAAAAGAAACAAAAGCCATGGAATTTGTCACAAAACGTTCATTGCTCACTTTTCTTTTAAGCATTTGGGGGCAAACCTTCAGGCCAACCGTCTAAATAACTTCCTGCATGTTGTACCCTTGACGTGAACTTGGAATTAGGATACTGGTTGGCTATCTTTTGGCCTTAACGGGAGGGTGCAAAATTTCCAACCATGTTTGTTTGTTTGTTTGTTTGTTTGTTTATTGTAAGTTGCAAGTATGCTTGAGATAGCAACCTCAAGAAGACTGAAATCACCTCTCAAAGACACATACCTGTAGATAAGAGTCAGTTTTTGGACTCTTATCTACAGTTCCTCTGTAATGTCCATGAAGGGACTGAGCTCTGCCTGATGAAGTGAGATTTTCTCCATGAAAGCTTGCAATTTGTTTGATTTTTTTCAAGTGATCCAATAAAAGATATCACACACTCTTAGATTTGTGTAATCTTAGGGACATGGCCTTTTCCTGTTTTGTTCTGGTTTATGCAGAACGCTTTAATGATATCGAATCATGTGGTACCTTAAAGACTTAAGACCACTATGCTGTTCAAGGACCTTGTGCAGCCTTAGTCTTGCCAGTGCATAAGCCAGAGGTTTCCCCCCATTTCAGTGGGGTAGCAAATTGTACCACTCACCCAACCTGCTGCTGTCTCTCCTTTTACTCCCTTTTTGTGGTTCATCCCAGCTTGCTTTACCTCATTCTAGACCTCTTACAAACTTTCATCACTACCAGTGCTTTGGATCCATGGTTCTTAACCTTTGTTACTCGGATGTTTTTGAACTGCAACTCCCAGAAACCCCAGCCAGCACAGGTGAAGGCTTCTGGGAGTTGCAGTCCAAAACTCCTGAGTAACCCAAGGTTAAGAACCAGCGCTTTGGATAAAGGGATCGAAGAGAGGAGGACTGTCCATTGCATTATAGATGGGCTGGCGCTTGTTTTTGCTAGCCAAAAGGCAAACTAGCCTTGCCTTCCTTCATCCTTTCCTCACACTGGTGTTACTGCCTGCTTCAAGTTCCAGGCTTCCTTGCTGCTTTAGGCTGCAACTAGACTTCTTTTTGTGTAAAGAGGTCCTGAATACGCCCTACCACAACCTTTGAAAGAGCTTCACTGCATACACAACAGAGCATTGTGTGCACAATATGGGGAAGTAGGATTCTGGCCTAAAATATTTATGTGGTATAAATTTTATGGATTGCAGGATGCATTGCACTTCATTACATTAAAAACAAGGTGTAGTCCATGAAAGCAGCTGTAATTAACAAATATCTATAGCAGCCCATTGGGTCCAGCTGGGAATTAGCCAGAGTGAGGCAATAATCTCAGGCAGTGGATTGCCACCAGAACAGCAAGAACTGCCACTGCCACTTATTTTCTGTTCCCTGAGCTGGCCATTGCCACCAGGCTTTGCCTGTGCCACCACCTTCCCACCTCTACACTGCAATTGCTTCTCAGCTGGTAAGGTAAATAATGCCTAGCACAAATGAGGCGAGGTGGCAAAAAAAATTGTCAGGCATAAAGTTTTAAAAAACAAACTACTTCTACCTGTAAAGCCTTGGCCCTGAGTATCCCGGGAAGCAGCCATGCTATGGATGTGAGAAGGAGGAGGCGGCAGAAGCGTCAAGAAAGATGGTGCCACTGCCACCACCCTTGTTGCTTTTATCTTGAACATGGCACTGATAGGGACTTGGGTCATGGGACTTGCTGTCAAGTCGGACTTAAGTCACACTGGTGACTCCACTCAGACTCAACTTGGTATTTTTTTTCCCCAGTGACTTGGAATCAACCCACAACTTGGAGCTGACCCACCACCTCCTCTCTTTTTTAGGGGAAAAGCTTATTTTTAATAGGGTCTCAGACTTGGGGCTTAGGACTCAGGGCTTGGTACCAAAGACTCAGACTCGGGCTTGGGACTCAGACTCAAAGATTTGCCAATATTCTTGGGCAGTAGCGGCAGTGTTGGGAGGTGCTTCTCCTCCTGTCTCAGGAAGTTAGAGGCCTTGTGGCCATCCTCCTAGTCCCTCACCAAACACATCACTGATCTTTAAAGTACCATTAGAGGCTGTTGGTTTTGCTTCCACAAAATAACACAGCTACCCACTTCCTAAAAAAAAAAATTATCCCATAACACTGTGGGGGTGATTTCCCTCCCCCTGCCTTAAGCTTTCCCTGTGGAAAACATGGAGTGTAGCCATGTCCTAGCCTCCTAGTCTTTACTTTTGCAGAATACTAGGAGACGTACTGTACGCTGCCTCCTGTCAATATGGCTGGTTCTGCAAACAAGCCCAAGGATGCCAAAAGAAGCGCTGATGATCGTGGCAACCACACTGCCCCATCTTTTCCTTCCAGCAACAAGTCACTGCAGCTAAAGAAGAGCTATGCCCCCAGTTACAGCTGTACCATGCGAACATGCTGAACTTCAGCCTAAATCTCAATCATTATCATACATAAGGAAAATAGTCATCATCTAAGTGATTGGGGCCTTTTATATTTTCATTGTTTAGCTCATGTTAAAATTATTGATCAAAAACAAGGGTGCAGAGAGATTCCTGAGAGCCAACTTTGACAAGTATTTCAAAGAGGTTATATCTTACAACACATTTGGATGAGCATACAGTTTGCCATTTGGATCGTTTTTGGTGCTGTTTGGTTTGAATAAAATTATGGCATCCACCTGTGGTTTGGCCTAGAGTGATCCATCCCACCCCTATTTAGATCTCTTCCCCTCCTTTTTGGCACAGCTCTAGGGCTGCAGGGTTTTTTATGCAGATTAGGAGAGTTCCTAATCATCTTGCTCTGCAGCTCATGTGGATAGCTAGTTTGCAGACAGTGTTATTTGAAGGGACAACCTTATGATGTATTTGGAGTGTGTGGCACTGAAAGGGATGGAGAACCCCCCTTTCTCTGTTTTCATCTACTCTGCTCTGCTCCTCCTTCCACATTTTATGTACTGGTGCACACAGGCTCTGAATGCTGGAAGTACCTAGGGACCTTTTTAATGGTCTTGGCAAGCTGGTGGTTACTGTCTATCTAACAAGACCCATTTCTCTAGAGTGCTTTTGATAGATGGCTGAAAAGAAGCAGTCTTGAGAATGCAAGGGCATGCTGCTAGATTTAATATAAACTGATGTTCTTTTAAGCCTAACAATACTTGTTTCGATGGGTACTCTAATCCTAAGACTCAGCTTGCATTAAAAATATAAATAATAGAGAAATGTCATAAATTAAGTCAAGTTATTTTGCTGCCTGAACCATGATGCTGTCAACTTTCCAACCTACCCACTTCCTGGTAGGACAAACACTTTACAAAATCTCATAACAACATTGAGTCAACCACCCAGAGTAGACACGTTCTAGATAGGCAGAATATAAATCTAATACTGTAAATAAATAAATAAATACATAAAATAAATTAGTACCTCCATCTAAACACCCAAAATGCATATACACTCTTAATGGTATTGTCTGAAGCAAGTTGCTTCTATATGTTGCATTGTTAGAGCTAGCCCTGATTGAAAGAACTAAGGTGTTAGTGAAACTTAACTAAATTTCTTAGTGTGCTTTACCTAAATAGCAGATATGATTGGATATTTATAAGGTTACATATTGAGATTCCAGCAAACTCACCCAAGATTGAGAAGGATCTCTTATGACAGTCTCCAGCAAGCAGGTAACTACAATCACCAGCAAAATCATACAGGGATTCATCAAATGTCTTGATGTGGTCATCACCAAAAAGACTACAGCGTGCAAATGACTGTGCAACTCCTTTTCCTTCTGCAAAACAATGGTTGGCTGATATCACCTATCCAAGCAAAATCTTATGCAAAATCAAGACATAGCTAGATCTTTCCAATAAACTGCTATATAGATTTGAAACATGACAGAGCAGAAACCTTCTACCATAGATAACTACATAAAATTAATAACATTTGTTGAAAGGCACCCCAACAACTGACATTAAAAATACAGTTAAGTACAAAATCTAGACAGCTATTTCCTTCTTGGCAAATAGGGACTAAAAGAGGCTGTCCCTGATAAACAGAAGTACAGTAGCTGAACCTATGAGAAAAGAGAGGGAAAAAGAAATTCTGCACCTGAGATGTTTGTGTTGCTCAGATTTCTTTTAACAAAATAAACAACTGCCATTTGTGGTAGCTGAAGAAGGAGAGACGGTTGTGCTGCTGGGGCTTAAAGGGCAAGCAATATGGCCAAGAGCTGCAGAGACCTCCCTCGTTCTCAAGGAATGGTATTTCCCAGTTCCAGAACCTAAGGTTCTTTTAACTGGAGATTTAACCAATAGCATGCAAATAGCAGTGCTCAGGGAATCATTACAGGGAACTTCCACAGCAGAATTAACATAACGAGTTCACCTCTGTAGAACAGAAAGGTCCTATTTTACTGTGTTTTCATGTGTGATAAGCAAGTTGTAAGCATCTGGCCCTTCGGAGCAGAAAATGAAAGAGGCATTTCTAGTGCAAAGTATTATTCTGCTCAACTCTGGGCTTACAGGACAATTATACTGGTAATAAGCTGTCATCTTTGTAGGGCAAATATACTCTATGAATCTGATGTATTATACAGTTCTAATTTTATGCCATTTAATAACCAAGATAATTATTTGATAAAAAAACAAGATGATCACGAAGAAATTGCAAAGCGTGTACTTTCTTACCTAGGTTTGATGCAGATACAGCTAACAAAAACAGCAAGACTTGGGGGCGTATCATCTATGAAATACAGAAAACATCATTATTAGAATGTTTTCTTCAATATTTTGCTTTGAAGAAAACATGATATTGTTACACAGGTGAAGTCCTCAATGTATTTTAGTGCTATTGAGCAACAAGAGAGTTAAGACCAAGCTTTGTAGTGAAATTAATGAGTTTTAAAATGACATCAATGGGTAGGGTGATTCGTTTATTTACACAGGACTAAATGAGATTAACTCTCATGTAAGACTGCATACATCCAACTCTCGTCTCCTAAAACCTTGAATTAGACTTTATCCTCCCAGCCCTCTGCCCCAAAAACATTTTTCCACTTAATCCAGCACAGGCCTAATAGAGAATAACATGTTTGTGTTTCTTAATAAAGATATTCATATCTATATTTCCATGACTCATAATCAGTCTTCTTCAGCAACACTGTGAAATCTAATAAAGAACATATGTGCAGTCACAAAAAGAAACTATGTAGTCACCCAAAGCTGTGTCTGTGTGGGTCAGGATAGCATCAGATAGCTCATTACTATCATCTTCACACATTAGAGGCTATGTGACTACCCCACACGTAGTGTCCAATGCACATTCACTGCAATGCACATCAACTTGGTACATGCGTCCTTGAAAAATGGAGGGTTGGGTTGTACATTCAAAGCATAGACAAGTTGGAGAATGAATTCATTATCCCCTTTGCAGACAGGATTTCTGGCATACTAATGTTTGATATGTCAAGAGAATGGAGATCAGTGGTCAGTCATAATATTCAGATATGCATAACTGTCTGTATTTTGCATGACGGTCATCATAAGACTCTTTCAACTAGACCAGAATTTCTCACTCTGGGGGCCACAACCCCTAAGGGGATCACAAAGTGTTTTCTGGGGGTTCATGGGATACCTTCTATATGTTGTCTTGCTTGCTAAAGAAATTTTTCATTGACCTTTCAGAGTGGGATATTAAAAGTTAGCATGTTTGTGCATGTATAAGAAACAGGTCCTGGGGGAAGAAAGAAGCTTTCTGAGAAGGGATGACTTTATTCAATTAAAAATGTGTTTTTATGCAAATATTGGGGGGGTCATGGGCTACTTGGCTATTATAAAAGGGGGCTGAATTTCCATGGTTGAGCAAAGGTGTGAATCAAGGTCTCCTGAGTCTAGTCAAACATTCCTTCTGTTATACTACACTGGTTCAAGGGTCTTGGTTGATTGGTTGGTTGGTTTTGGATTTTGCTGGAAAACAAAAAATCTATCAAACAGAGCCTGGTACAAAACAGTAAAGCAAAATACCCCCCCCCAAAAAATAAACCCCCAAACCCCGAAACAAAACAGAAAACACTTAGAATCATTTTATTCTAAACCCAGGAAGTGAATTGACTTCTTCAACCCCAAAATCCATTTCTGATTCCTCCAGCTTTGTTAATGTGAACAGTAAAATTGTAGGGGCGTGGGTAGGATTATTTTGTTTGTTTGTTTGTTTGCTTTGGTGTAGATTTGCTCCTATCTTTAAAGCAATGGGATTCAGAAATCACCTAGAAATGTACGAGTACTGTACATCCGCTCTGATCTGAACTTGAAGATGAGCTAGGAATGAATTACAGGAGGTATTACAAATTAGCATTGATTACTAATACTGTATCTTGATAGGTTATACAGTATACTGTTGTGAACTATGCAGGCAGACATAATTTCAGAAAAAGTAGTCTCAGAAAATCTTGACTATATTCTTTCTCAGTTATGTGAAGCAACTTCTCAGCAACTTCAGCTTAACCAGGTCTGAGTTATATTCATTTTAGAGCATGCATATTAAACAACGGCATTTGTAAAGCAGGGCAACACACAAAAAAGTCTCATAATAGCACAGTGGCTGAGCACTTTGGGTCACAACAGTGGATCACTCTCTTATGGTATCTTCTGAATGGCTTGCAGATGAGCAACCAGGCTGTACATAGTAGGTTTTCAAAACTACTTAGCCCAGGGTTCTAAAGAGAAAATAACTTTCCAACTTCAGTCTTAAGTGGGTTTCAAAATAAGTACTGAAATTTGATGCACTGTTCTCAATAATAAATACTGTGACTCTATTATGGAAATATTTGTTCTGGGTAGATCTGCTATAACTATCTAAATACAATGGCCAGAATCTTGCTGATTATGCCTGCATGGAATGCTATGAAATGAACAGCAGGGACCCATTGCTGCTAGTTAATGAGTTGACAGTCCTATCTCTTGTTGATCAGCAATTCTTGCAACTGACACACAAGGATACAAGCATCAATTTGTTAAGTAGCAGCAACTCACCGCTACAATTTATACCATTGCACTTACACTGGCATAAGTAACCAATAGAATTCTGGCCTTTATGAAAAAAGAACTAGAAATGAGGTCAAGTGGAGGGGGATAAGCCAGACTTTTCCCAGTCCATTCAGTGGATTTCAGGGCTGGGGAGCAATGTAAAGGAAAGTCTCCAGCACCTGATGCAACAGCGTACAGAGTTTTACTGCTTCTGTGTTACAGGTATCCTCCTGTACTTCCACAATCTAGAGCAGGAATTCTTTGTAGCAGAGTAACTACAGAGCTCTTCACACAGATGTCCATGCTTCACTCAATACTTTAATTTGTACTTGTAATCTAGGCCCAATTATATTCCTCTTGATTGTTTATTTGACTGTCAACATCAAATGAAACCAGAGACAATCAAAATGGCACTTATATACTGACTAACCTTACAAGGCAATTTATAGGAATTTAAAAACATCCAGCAATAAAATAATAAATAAAACAAAATTATGGTACAGTAAAATATAAAAACAGCACATATATTTAAAAGGGTCTTCTCAAAATTATGGCCTCAATGAACAAATGACTCAATTGTACACAAAGAGGATTTAGAGTATAATTGAATAAAAGGCTGAAACATACAAAATAGCAATACTACTCATATAATAAATTGCTAACTATAGCTCACTGATTACTTTTTTTTGCAATGGACTATATAGATTTGAAAAAAAATCACCCTTGTAAAACACGTTATCCATTACCAACTGCCTCTTAACAAAGGGTCCTTTGGATTATTTCTAAGCTTCTCCTCAACATTCTGCTACATTCATGAGAAACATACATTTGCAGGATGAATAACATAGATACCTTTGCTTCTCTGCAAAAGTTCAGTTCCCCATCAACAGAGAGCTTCGCTAACGCCCAAGGTTAGTCTTGAAGCCCTCCTCAGAAGGCTCCATTGGAATGGTCTGGGTCAGCTATTTGTTCCTGTTATATAAGTCAGGAACTCTTGTTCACTACAGAGGAAAGATAAAAGGTGGCTGGTGCTTCCGTCCAGTTCTTAACACAATGGTGTGATCAGGAAAATCAGTTGCCTTAATGGCTTAAAAGAAACAATGAAGGGAAGTTGTATAAAATGCTTTTACACAAACAGATGAACCTTGAAATTTTATGTACATGCATTCATGTGTGTGTGCGTAAAAGAGTGAGTGACATGGAAACAAATTCTTCATATGTACTGCAAATAAGGCTTTAATGCCAATCATTTTAAAGGGAAATAAATGATTAGCTGTGAGAATACTGCTCTTCTTGTTGTGCAGCCCATCATTAGTAAGGTTATACATCCTACACATCAGAGTGGGCAGTATGCAGATTCAAGGGACCCAAATGCACCCTTACATCCCCTAAATTTAACTTTCAAGAGGGGGAAATGATATAGGAAAGTGCATAGGAGCTGTTTTAGTGGGTTTGGGGAAAAAATTGGGAAATGGGGATCATGGGAGAAGGTGTGACCTTTGTCATCATGGGAATGAGTTTGTGCAGCCACTTGACCAGTGCTTTCAGTATCTGGCTGTGGAGCCAGAGACGGGGAGTTCAATTCCCCACTGTACCTCTTTAGCAGGGTCTGGGCTCGGTGATCCATAGGATCCCTTCCAGCTCTGCAGTTCTAAGATGATGATGAATGTATATAGAATATACTGGATATCCCTTATTTCTGTGGCACTGACCTACTTCCTGGGGAACAGGACTAAAAGTAAGCCCTACTCATAGATGACCACTTCAGTTTAGCAGTACTAACTGTGGTACATCTCAAATAGTCATACCGAGGTCACAAAGCTCCATCTGCTGTAACGAAAGAATCATCTTCAGCAGAGGTATTTTTAAGACCTGCACTCTTCCTGCTGCACTCTACAAATAGCCCATCTGTGGCTGACCTGAACAAACTACCTCTCTTTTGCTTTTGTAGGGCTGGATCTCACTTCTCTCCCCTATATCCCTGCTCATGAAAGGCAACTATGTAATGGAGGTGGTCAGTCTAAACTCCTTGTCCCAGATGTGTCAGATGGTGTGGAGAAAATGGATTGCACGGAGGAGCAAAACGGGTGAAGTTGCACAGACTGAATCACAGCCTGCCATCTCTTGGTCACCCGTTCAATACACAGGATAACCAGAAAGCTGGTGTTGTTGCAGGAGATATCGGCTCTTTAATGCCCCTCAGCGTGACCACTGCAGCTTTGTCAATGAGCTTACTTAGTGCATGCCTGTCCGTGTTGCTTCAGAGAGACAAGGCTGACTCCCTTCCTGTCTAACTTTCCTTATTTCAAGCATTTACTAGTATTATTATTTGTTTAATTGTGTCTTTATTTATTTATTTATTTATTTATTTATATAAAACATATTAAAAGAAAACAAACAGACCCTACCCCCCCCCATAAAGTCACCCATCTGGGACATAAGACAACAGGCTAACATAATTTACAAAAGGGTGGTATTTGGGAAGGCCTGCGTAAAAAGCCACAATTTGCTTGTGGAAGCTCAGGATTATTAATTATGACTTCTGTTTTTACTTCTACATTTTATCACTGAACCTTCCTGTGATCAGCTTTGCATTTGAGTTTTGGTAGTTATAAATTATTATTATGATGATGATGATGATGATGATGATGATGATGATGATGATGATGATGATGATGATGATGATGATGATGTAAA